AGACAGAGACAGGGACAGGGACAGGGACAGGGACAGAGACAGAGACAGAGACAGAGACAGAGACAGAGACAGAGACAGAGACAGACAGACACAGATCTCCTTAAACATGGTTAATATAATCCAAGAAAACTTAGACAGCACATAGCACATTTACAAAATATACACAGATATCGCTGCCCTAACATCCAGGAAAAATGCCAGATCTTAATGGCCTTTCTGAAGGCCAAAACATAACTTATAACATATGCTTATGATACCAACAATCCATTACAGTAGTGCAAATATGCGTAGATGTCCCCTAAACTCAAATCCAACATTTTTATCACATTAGAATGTTGAAATATAATATATTTTTAAAAAAAATTAATTTCTCTTATGTCATTTGGCTTAAAATAAGTTGGCAGATTTTTAATTACAGGATGAAGTAGATACTACTGTGTTCCAACAAATGCTATATAAAAGCACTTGAGCAAAATGGTAATGTATAATATTATCCATATTCAAACCTAGAAGTCAACTATCTTAGTGTGAAAAGTTATGCATGAACAGATTGGATGTGTTTGGGATGAAGAAAATATGATAAATGTAAATATTATCACCATCATTCATAATCAGGGGAGGGTCCTGCACAATACGCATAGCCGTATATAAGAATTAAAATACAGTCTAGACTGTAACCTACATTTCTACATCAAAAATGTTTAAATATAAAGTTCTTGTATATAGCTGTGACTAGGGAAAACCACATATGTTCACTGAACCATATAAGTGATTCTCATAAGGTGGCTTAATCATTATAATCATACACACGTACCAAAATGAATATATTTGTTCTATATAATGTATAGAACATGTGGAAAAGTATTTGAAAGAAATAATTATCCTTATTTCTTTAATAGTAAATCTTATTTCTCCATTTCAGTTACATCATCTCTCCTACCCTTTTATATATTTTGTCTCTTTAGAGTTTTTGATGTCAAAAACACCACCTTGATTCACACTTCACTTTTCAAATTTCTATTTTGATACCAGGATTTCACATAACACCTGAATATTTTCACACCAGTGAATGTGTAAATTAAATGCTCTGGTCTTTTCATTAATCATCTGACTCTCAGTGGACCAGTGACTCATCATTTACAACCCTGAAACCTAGACGTTAAATCAGAAGTGCATGAAAGCATCAATTTCATAATATACTATGACTACCCTATCTGGGCCGCAAAACCCCAGATGATCAATATATGGCAACAAAGAGTTGGGAGCTTTTCATATACTTTCTATGCTATTAAGTGTTTATCTGAAATTTTGCAAAATATAGAAAAATCCCTTCTAAAGAAGGGGAAATTAAACACTGATTAAAAAAACAAAAAAAATCATTCAACTTTGATTGTGAATCACCATATGTGAATGTATATTTTGTATTTTTACAGGAGCAAAAGAATGTTTAGTATAAGCTATTTTTTAAGAAAATACGTTGTGAATAGAAAAAAGAACAAAGCAAATTTGACTCACATGGGCATTCAAACTTCTCTTGTTGTCTTTAGTGAATATATGTAACCAGGTTGACCAGTTAATCATTTTACCTTACTTTATTCTATATTGCGTGAATGCCTATGTATATTCATACAACATACTAGAATAAGGGAGGGAGAGGGGGGAATTATATATCTATTATTTCTCTTGTAAAGAAGCCCATTATAATTATATGAAATAAAGAAATAACATAACAAAAATACAAAATTTAAATAATATTCAAATTAATTTAAAAAATAATCCAGAAGTAATTCTGCTTTTTTCTTCAGTATTTCACTCACGACATGGGTAAAGAGAATAAGAAAATGGTTATCAAAACTGGTGATAAGAGACTAACCAATTGACACAATTCTTGCACTCTATTAAATTGATTGTATAAATAAGTGGTGGCAAATGATTATCCTGGCCACCCATTCAAATGTAATATATATTACACATATAAACTATGCAATCATCAACATAGCTAGCAAATGGTGTTTTTTTTCCAAACAATACATAAAAAGATCAAAGTTTTGCAATGTTCACAAAAGGAAGCAAAAACATTTTGGGGGATCTGAAGGGTATGCTATTGTCTCCCATAAATTCTGAGATTCTAAACCTTTCATATGAAAATTGTGTTTGACTGGAATGGTGTGGTGTTCCCACAATTAGCTAGAACATCTAAAATAAAATAAAATATATAGATAAGGTAAATTATCAAAGATTTCTTCTTTATTTGATTTGATAGCTTTAGTTAACATATGGAAAGAAAAAAATAGTAATTTCAGCAATTCAGGATGTTATTAGTTTCACTGATCAGGAAGATCAAGATTTCCTGGAATTAACTATCAGTTGTTTCAAATTCTTAAGTCTTGGTCAAGTAAGTTCTATTTTGCAGTCAGTAATGAGAAAGCTTCACAATAGGGATTCAATAGATACTCTTATTAATAAATAAATAATAAACAAAATATAATGAACAAAATATAGAAATGAGACACATCTTTGAGTTGTTAATGGGTACATTAAAATAAGAAAAAAGAAACAAAGAATGGTTGTATTTCAGTTTTTTTTAAAAACCATCTTTCAATTAACCCTTCATGCCAATGGAAGTTAATAATAAGTAAACATTTAATTATGAATTAAATTATTATCTTGTTGAACATTTAATTATGAATTAAATTATTATCTTGTTGAACATTTAATTATGAATTAAATTATTATCTTGTTGAACATTTAATTATGAATTAAATAAGTAATCAGGGATTATTTTAAAAATGGTCCCTGATTATCCTTAATACATTTACAAAAAATAATGCCAAGATTACCTGACTTTGCAATTCACTTTGCTGTTTTAGTCGAATGTTTTCAGGGGTATCTGCCACTGTAGTAAAGGACTGCTTTGGATAGTGTCTGGAACAAAATAATAATAATAATAATAATAATAATAATAATAATAATAATAATAATAATAATAACAACAACAACAACAACAACTACTACTACTACTACTACTACTACTACTACTACTACTACTACTACTACTATTACCACCACCACCACTACTACGACTATATTATAACTAACTGGTAGCTTATTTGTTCTGAGCCTTGTTCTGGCTCATTACAATAATTTAAAACAATTAATGTTTGTACTTATTTTCAAATGGCAGTTTGCATAGCATGGTAATTTTAATAAAGAAAACAATAAATAGAATGAAGCAACTTCACAACCAAGATACCCTTATTTATTCACAGTTGTATTATTCTCTTTTTAATATATTTCTCTTTCAGACCAAAAAATAAAAGCAGAGAATGAAGTGAGAAAGAGTTTATTACGCTATTAGTGTTTCTCTTCTTTATTTCTTAATTCTTCTTATCACACTATTTTTGTTTAAAGTCTTTTTGGTACATTTTTTTCTCAAAGGTTATTCCAAAACATATATAGTTGACCTGTTCATAAGAGTTTCCTGAATGTTTTTTTGGATGGAATAATTTCATATATAGCATTTTTATCAATTACAGTGGTACCTTGGTACACAATTGCTTTGAAACTCATCAAATTTGGTACTCAATGCATTCTGATGTGAAAATGTTGTCCCGGTACTCATCATTAGTTTGGAACTCAAAGCACAATCTAAAACTTGTCAGTGTCAACCAGTGTTGGCTTCTAATTCACCACATTATTCCTTATGGCAAATTTTTTCGGGGTACTCATCGCACCTCCCAGAAACAATTAGTGATAAATACTGAAATACCACTATATCTAAAAACTCTTAACTAATCAACAATCAATTTTTAGGAATAAATATCCAAAGAACTCTCATTCCCTTATACATGCTGGCTCACAAGCATATCATAATTTTTTAAGATACCATTCTTACTCAGTTTTATAAATGAGCAATTTTGGAAACAATTATAATATTAATTTAAATCACTTTAAAATATTAAATAATTGTTGAAGGTGTTGTAGTATGCTCTCAAATTATTTCATTTCAGGAGTTCATTTGCTAATGTTGATGCTAATTTATATGTTACATCAAAAAAGCAGGCGATATTATGGCTTTTATTTTATTATTTTAAAATTAAGCTTTTACTTTTAGGTAAGTGCAGGGAGCTCAGTCCCAATGACAGGGATTAGTTTGATACTTTGCCCCACCACCACCACTGTAGCGCCTAGTCTTACCTTTTTCTAAATATATATCCCTGGGAAGCAACATAAATGGTGCCCATGATCTATATTGCAAACATAGCATAGGCTGAAATCCCTCTATTCCACAAACTGAAACCTTAGTTCAGACCAGTTCAGTAGATCCCAGTGCTTGTTCTAGGCTTTTTTTAAAAAAAGAAAAAAAGAGAAGAGCCACAATCCTCTACCCTACTGGGCAGACTTAATGCTTACAGAAGGTGTTTAGCTTATCCCCATTGAATGATACAATCATAGTTTATGGAAAGTTTATGTTTATGGTTGTTTTTATTTTATTTTTATTTAAATTTTTCCTGTGGCATTCTGTTAGCTATTGCAAACCTAAGGCATTTAGAAGTAGAAGAATTAAAGTGAATAAAGTGTTGGCCCACAGTAATAAGCAAAACATTACATGTGTATTAAGTTTGAAAGTGTAAGAGGAAGAGGAAGAAAATAAAGCATTGTTAAAATGGAATATAAATAATCAAAAGCAAAATTAAGGAGAAACTTAAAACTAAGGTGGGATGATTTATTTTCATTCAATTGTTTCCAATTCTTCAATACTGCCCAGACAAATCCCTGCAGTTTTCTTGGTGAGTTTTTTTCACAGAAGTGGTTTGCCATTGCCTCTTTCCTAGAATAAATTACTATCCCATAAGTGACTCAACAAAATTATTATTAATAATTTAAAAATTACTGACAGTTCCCCAAGGGTACCTAGTTGTGCCTCAGGCAGGACTAGAATCCATGATCTCATGATTTCTAGCCTAATGCTTTAATCATTTCACCAAACTGGCTCTCAAACCAAGAGAAGGAGACAGACAGAGAGACAGACAGAATTATATATCTATAAACATGAAAATCTAAGTAGCGATCAGCATTGCTGCTACGTAGAGCAAGTAATACCACCTAGAAAAAAGTCTCCATAAAAGTGATTTTCAATGTCTGGTTGAGTATATATAGTTCTGTCTTTTACTATCTTGATATCTGTCTTTTTAAATGCAAACTCAGGCCCTTTATGAACTGGTCACAAAGGATTCATTCATATTCCACATTCTCAAAGGTCATCCTTATTAATGTTAATAAGGTCAGCACTTTTCCTTCACATAAATAGGCAATGTGCTTAACAATAAGGCACCATAAAGAAAATCATGCCTTCAGAACATTATCTTCAGTCTGAAATAGTACATTCATCTAAAATACTATTTATTATTACATTTAATCTAGTAATCCATGAGTGCCACACAGATTTTGACTTTTAGGAAGCTTGCAATCAGGATATTTTATTTTATAAGTTATCTTAAACAGCTACCATTTAGATAATAGATAATACCATTTAGATAATATCCATTATAATGCTAAGTCACAATTTGATTTGCTTATTTCTACTCTAATCTGACATTTACTACAATCATTGTTGCTTATTTTTCTAAGAGTTGTGTGAATATTCAACAATTTTATTAGACTTACATATATGTTCATATAATGAGCAGTTAACATGCATTTAGTCAATTTCCCTAATTTTAAAGGAGGTAAAAAAAATAGGAAATTATTCATATAGAATATATTCAAACCAAATGTCTACACAATCGTCAGGTTAATATTCCTGGTGATACAATGCTGAATTGCACAGAGAGATAAGTTTCTTAGGCTAAGATATAATTTATAGAGCACAAGGTTCCTTCCACCTTGATATAGTTCAGTGCTAAATAGAAATCAAAATACTGTGATTTGTTCTAGTTAAAAATGTCCAGGATTACCATTATCTGTTGTCAGGCCTGTTTGCTGAGGAGAAGACCAAAGAAAATTTAATAAATCTTCCCAGAGATTTATATTTTATAGCAACTGCAATTTGCTGATCTACCTCTATGGGACATGTATATGACAACCCTTTTTTTGGTCTCCAAGCTTTCTCAATTAAACATCACCTATTACTTGCAAGCAAATAACCTCATCTACATTAATACAATAGAAATGCAGGGTCTAGTGCAGACTAATAATAGAATTATTTACCACAAAAAACATTTCGTTTAATTGAAGGTTGGACATTCTTTCTGCTGTCAGTCAATTCTGAGCAATGTTAACTACTTTTAAGATTCAAAATTTTAATTAATTATTATTAATTTTAATTAATTATTATTAATTATCACAGACTTAATGAGATAAGTCACAGTGACAAAAATCATAGTATTTAACTCTATTAGTATGATTTGATAGTTTTCAATGTGCTTCAATAAAAAGTCGGGGAAACATAAATAGTCCACATTCCCAAGGGTTTCTTCTTCCTAATGTATCCCAAGTATTAAGCATAATACAGGTATTCATCGATTTACAATTCATTTAGTGACCGTTCAAAGTTACAATGGCACTTTAAAAAGTGACATGACCATTTTTCACAGTTACAACCTTTGCAGAATCCCCATGATCATGTAATCAAAATTCATAGGCTTTGCAACTGGTTCATATTAAGACTTGCTACGTCCCAAGATCATGTCACCTCCTTTTGCAACCTTCTAACAAGCAAAATCAATGGGGAAGCCAGTTTCACTTAACAACCAGGTTACTAACTTATCAACTGAAGTGATTCACTTAACAACTCAGGCAAGAAAAGTCGTAAAATGGGATAAAGTTCTCATATGTTGAGGACTACCTGTATATTGGGTATGAAACAAGGCAATTGGGTTGAAGCATTGAATAATTTACATTTATAATTATCTTACATCTAATCAGGCGGTCTACGCCAAGTTCTAGTTCTCAATTCTGGAAGGCACAAAATCTTGCTTTCTTTCAACCAGCAGCAACAGACTGCCTCTGTCAGCCCTTCAAAATAGGCCAAACAATAGGCAGAGCAGAGGTTTTAGGAATACAGTGTAGTTTATGTAGGTTATAAGAACCGAAATATAATAATTTAAGTGTAATAACTAAAATTTGAAATTTCTCCCTCTTGTGCCAAGCAAAATTGAGGTGGAGTTATTTGGAATTTCTTGTTCACGCTTTCCACTTTCTTGGGATTTATGTAAGAATGAACCAAACCAATTAGCAGCTTCAAACTTGGATGATATATGGAGCATTCATGTGGCTATAATTTCCATCTGGAGGGCGTAACAATTTTTATAGTGGCCAGAAATTAACAAGGAGAAATGTGTAACAATAAGAGAAGAAATACTGTAGACATGAGGAAGAGAAATAGCTGGGGAAAATTTTCACTCACAGGCACTAGGCCATGAACAGTTCTTCTGTGGTATCAAGCAAGCAGTGGCTGGGTACAACTATGTCCTGAACTCCTAGATTTTACCCTGTAACAACAGATTCATGGTTAAAAGATAAATTTGGGGCGGGGGAAAGATTGGTACAATCCAGGGGTAGGTTTCTACGCAAATCATGCCAGTTTGTTCGTGCTGTACATTGCTTACACATGCAGAGTTTGCTGTGAATGGTTCTGTGCATGTGCGAAGAGAATTAAAACCTAATAAACAAGGTGCCAGCAATGGCAATGGAGACCGGGGAACCGGTTAAGGGGTGTGACCACCCTGGGTCACTGCCAGTTCTGTGATCCAGGCCACATTATGACTACCAGTTTTGCTGAACTGGGCCGAATCGGGAGCAACCCACCTCTGGTACAATCTACTGAGAAGTTGATTATTACAACATGTCAATACAGCCTGAATTGAGTGAATTAGAAAATGATGGGAAATAATTTTCTGATGGTATTCGCATAATAACCAACT